TTTTTGAAGTCTGTGCTTATAATGATTAAAGGAATTTTAAAGTAAAAACAAGGAATATATAACTAGTTAACATTTTAAGTTATCTTTAGGTAAGAATTATAGATGTTTTCATTATTATTTTATACCTTTTCAATGTTTTACAAATGTGATAAAATATCACACTGCAATTTTAATTTTAAAAGCTAGGTTGAAGTAGTAAAAAAATAACTGAGATAGCATTTACAAAAATATCCTAGTTTACTGAGTGAGCACTTGTATAGACTTGGACTTTAAACCCATGACTTCTGGTACTCTAGGCACATTTTGTCTCAGCAAAACCAGGAATATTTCATCTATAAAAGCCATTTATTGTACATTTCAAGTTGTTTGTAGCTGTACCAGTCATCTTAAAATTATAACGAAAATCCCAGAAAGTAATGTTTATGATCAACTCAATCAGGCCACAGAGAAGGACACACCTAGTTAAAAAAGGGTAAGTTCCAATGAGATGGCTTCCATTATATGAGCAAACCATTTAATGTAAGTGAATGAAACAATTAAAATAACTTATGAAGTAAAAGCCAAGATCTGAAACAGAGTAACTCTCAGAAGAGGGTAAAATGAAGCCCACATAACTTTGAATAGGAAATGAGCACAGATGACTAAGAATAAAAACTAATTTTAGCTTCATCCTAAAAGACACAAAGTAATAGATTTAAAGGATTTCTGAAAAATCTAAAAATATAAGCTTGTAAATTTGTAACAATAAAAGCTTGATTTTACAGAAGTTTTACATCTGGCAACTTCAGTTCCTCCCAATACAACTAAAAGTCAGGAAGTAAAAAGCAAAAGAAATAAAATCTCCTGTGCAATCAAACCAATGATACTGTTGAGTGTGGTTTAATGCCTTGTATCTCTCTCTCTCTCTGTCTCTGTCTCTCTCCCTCTCCCTCTGTCTGTCTCTGTCTGTCTCTGTCTCTCTCTCTGTCTCTCTCTCTCTCTGTCTCTGTCTCTCTCTCTGTCTCTCTCTCTCTCTCTCTCTCTCTCTCTCTCTCTCTCTCTCTCTCTCTGTGTGTGTGTGTGTGTGTGTGTGTGTGTGTGAGAATAGTACTTGTGGAGGTCAGAGGACAACCCATGAGAGACAGTTTTCTGCCTCCACTCTGTAGATTCTTGATTTTGGATGTCAGGCCTGGAAGCAAGCGCCTTACACTGAGCAGTCTTATCAGCCCTCATTTATTATTTTGTCCCAGTAAAAGTAAAGCTACAAAGTAGATAGTGTTTGATGGGTAGGAACAGAAATAAAGTGAAGAATTTTATTTAGGATAAGACCCAGAAATGACAGGGCTATGGCAGGCTGACGTCAGAGGCTGCATATGCCTTTTCCCTACAACACAACCCTTCATTCTTCAACCTCTATATCTTAACATCCTCTACCATATGTGTCCAAGCTTCTGACACAGTAACACACAACATGATTTGCAGAGCTTGAAAACTACACAATGGAATTAGCAAAGCAAATGAACCAAACCCCTTATGTTTGAAGCAAGTCTAGAGTGCTGTGCTGGGCCCCATCCTTAGTCATCCTGGGCCTCATGTGGGGAACAGGCTGGACAGATCCACCGGGTCACTGACTTTTTAGGTACAAGGTTGGCTAGCTATCATCTAGTTTCACAATGCAGAGCTGATATCATCTGTAAATTAGAGAAAGTGAGTGACAGTGTCACTAAAGAGAAGCTACTGACAGACAAAACCCCGTCACTGATGTGAGTCAACATCAAAGCTCCTGGCATTATCACACCTCACACAAATGACATTCGGCAGAGCTACGTAACTCAGTCACCTGGACCATTAATTTATATGTGCACACTACAGTGCTCACAGGAGGTCACAGGACAACCTGTGAGAGCTGATTCTCTCCTTCCACCTTGTTGGTGCCGTCAATCAAATCCAGGTCTTCAGGCTTGGCAGCAATCTTACCTGCCCAACTGTCAAAGATTTTTAAAGTTAATCTTTAATTAAAGCATGATAAAATCAACCTTCTTACTAGTTTGTTTCTTTGTTAATGGAGACTGGGTTTCTTGGTGCAGCTCTGTCTGTTCTGGAACTTGCTCTATAGACCAGGTTGGCCTCAAACTCAGAACTACACCCACCTCCGCCTCCTGAGTGCTAGGATTAAAGGTGAGTACCACTACTGCCCCACAGTCTTCTTACTCTTTGCTAATGGGTTTACATATCAATTCACCTTGTGGTAAAACATGCATTCTTTTCCATCGCTATGCTTAGAAATATATTCTTAAACCACAGATACAAAACAAGTGTTTACTGAGTTATTTGATAAAAGTTATTATGATGTTCATATTAGGAAGTGTAAGTGCCTGACAGCAGGAGGATGAGTACATAAAATAACATTTAAAAAAAGAAAATACTTGGAATATAGTCATTACCATAAGTAAATCCTTGGTGCATGTTATTCTAGGAACCAGAAGGAAGGATTCAACTCTTTAAACAATATAACTCCACATCTTTGGGAAAGTGGTCTGCCTTCTTAAAAACAAACTCCCTAGAAGGCTGATGGCTCTGTACTGTTCCATCTTAACAGTAACAGGCAAATCTATGGTAAAGTTACAGAGACATTCATATCGTCACAGTAGGATGTAGCATGGCTACCTTTGAAACCTCATCCTACCACTGTCCACTGGAGGGAAACTGCTGCAGGCCCATGGGCTGACTTAAAACACACTAAGCTTTTCTGGAATATTTGGTTCACTGCAGGTCAACCTCCAGGCTCTCAATAGTTAAAGACTAAACCTGGAATCTTCCTTCAAGAAATGTTAATTATTCACCCACTTATTACCTGTCTTCCTAATACAAACAATACCATATGACTGCCACATGCCACAGGCCCACCGACTCTGCTTTCCAGCCCGGGTCCTAGGACATGACCCTCACATGGTGCTATCTACTTGAACTTAATTGTGAAGCCTTATATGGAATCTGAATTTTTCACTACTTCACTCGCAATGCTTAAGAGATTTCCATTAAACATTATGTTCTGTTAGTAAGAAGTTCTCCAGAGGTTAGGGATCTTACTCTATACCTAAATAATTATTTAACAATGAAACAGAAGTATACCAACTTTAAATGAACAATAACTGGAAGACCAGTTTATAATTTTACATTCTAACATTAAAAATTTTAAAAGAATTCAACATCTTATTTTTTTAAAACTTGAAATCAGAATGCAAAAGAATTGCAACCCTTCTACACTTATGCAAATCACCGAGTATATACTGACAGCAACACTTTTAGACATATGCAGTAGTTAAATGCAAGAACCATTGAACTCGGCTAGAATAACAAGGTAATTCAATTTTGGAGTAGAAAATGTCTTAAGGATAATTTTATACTAACCACTTGGGGTCTAATTTGGCAGTTGTAACCCATTAAGATGTCTCCAGAGAGCCCCCAAATATAAAACAGGACATTTTTATTGTAATCATTTAAAAAGATGGTAAAAGGAAATGAGTAATAAAAGTGCCTCCCCCAGTACACAAACATTCCAAGTGTCAATTTCCATTACAACAAAATAGTTCCATTAGACTCTCATTATTAAATAGAAGTTAAAAAATATTGATCTCTTTGTTGTCATTCACTTGGGTTATGGGCTTAAAAGTCAGTGTTTAGAAACCCTAGCATTCAGAAAATTCCAAAATTCAACCCCAAATATCAAAGAGAAAAGAAAGTAGTCATTAATTTTATTTACAATGTTTCCTCTTTTGTTTTTGTTTTTGCCTATTTGGAGGCAAGGATACCAACATTATATCCCTGACCAACCTAGAACTTGCTATATAGACCACGCTGGCCTAGAACTCAAGAGATCTGCCTGCTTCTGCCCCCCAAATGTTGGGACTAAAGGCGTGTTTACTCTTCTTAATGGTCAGATACTAGAAGAACTGCAACTTGCTAGGAAAGTAAAACCGATTCTCCAAGAAAAAAATATTCAAATAGTTCAAGTCATGAATTCAGATTCAACCAAACAGGTCATTTTGATGTGTCTATGGTACCTTCAAGTGGGTAGACTTAGCAACGCTGAAGTGCAAGAACAGAAAGAAATGTCTGAAAAGAGAATGGCCTTGGGCCATCTATTCAGAAGTCAGAGACTACCAAGATTTAAGAAGCCGTAAAATCAATTAATTATACATGTAAGAGAATAAATAAACTTAGGTTATCTCTTGTCCCATTATTTTGTTTGATACATCCTCCTACTCAACCCTGGCTAGCCTCGAACTTAGGATCCTGTTGCATTAGCTGAGTGCTAGGTTCACAGGCATGCGTCCCGCTGCTTCTAGCTGTAGTCTTTTTAAATGGGTCTTGGAAAGCCCCCCCCAAAAAAAAAAGTTAGGTAGGTCTCCTGGTTTCTGTTTATATTTGAAGTAGACACGAAAATCTCAATAAGGAAATGAGTGAAGAACTGTACAACTTTCTCAGATTTCTAAATATACAACGCTTAGGCCCAATTATCTCTTTATCTATTCTAAGGCGGTTAAAAAAAATCTGAATCAATAAGCGCCTGATGGAGCTGGAGATACTCCAAGACAGTCCTGCAACCAATAGGAGAACTTTCCTTAAATGTGGATTACGGCTTCATCTCTTTATCACAAAACTGAGAACACAAACCCCCAGTGTTAACGGATACCCAAAGCAGCAGGAGACCCAGTTAGAGTAATCAGTGCTTGGAAGCAACCGCTGTTTGTAAGGATTTTAAGGGACAATAAAGGATAAAACAGTGTAGGGAGGAAAAGCGGGATTCATTTCTCCAAGTTAAGTAACACCTTGTCGCTCAAAGGGAGTTAAAAATGAGCCTAGCTGAAATGGGCGCGGGCTTTGGGCAAGAGGCTGAGGACGGAGACCAGGCGAGGGGTGGAAGGTCGGTTTCCCTAGGGCTCGCCAGAGGACGGGTGGAGAGATGGTAATGAAAGCGAATGGCCGGGGCAGGATGGAGATGCCGGGCGACGCCTCACCCCACGAGCGCGCGAGGGTCCGAGCGGCAGGATCACAGCCGTGGGTCCGTTTCCCTCGGCGGCGACCGGGCCCGCCTCCATGTTCGCCGGCCCTGGCCCTGGGGCGGGCGGGAGCTACTGGACCGCCGTTCTAGGCCGCCGGGCCCGGCCTCCCCTCGTCGAATTCCCTAAGGGGCTGGCGCCGCCCGCGGACAGGATGCGCTTGGCTTTCCCGCTCGGCGTTCCCGGCGGCGGGCGCTGCGCCACTCGACCTCGGGGGTCGGAGCCGCCTGGGCCTGGAGCTCCCCGAGCGCGGCCGCTCAGACCCCGGCGGAGCCTGAGCTCGGCGATCGGGCGCGGCCTCCCTGCCCCGCGGGCCTCCCGCGCCGCTCGCTCGGGTGCAAGCCACACTGAGGACGGCGAGGAAAGGCTAGCGCGGCCACCCCGGCCCTCCGCACACCCCGCGGGCCTCGGTGCCACCCACCTGCAGTGTTTTCTCCGCAGCCATCACGGCATGCTCTGGAAGCCGGGCCGGCCCCGGGCTCCCTCCGCCAGGCGGCCGCCTCTCGCCTCAGCGCCGGGCCGCCGCGGCCGCCGCTAGGGCTCGGGCCGAGCGGGACGCTCCCCCATGCCGCTGGCCGGCCCGCACGCCCGGCGGACCGCACGCCAGGGCCGCGGCTCTCAGGCGCCCCGGGGCTCCGCCGCCCGCCGCCACGCTCCTCGCTCGCCCGCCTCCCCGCCTGCCCGCCTCGAGCCGCTGCAGCTACTGCGTGCCGCGTTCCTCCCCTCCGCTCTCTGGACTTCCTTCGCTGCCACTGGAGAGGAGCTTGGCAAACCAGCACCTGCTGCTGGAGAACGCCGAGAACTGAAACAGGAAACCCTAAGCCAGTGGGGGAAACCCGGGAGGCGTGGAGAGGGGTGAGGGGAGCTGCTGAGACCTGTCGGGTTCTACCCGAGCCTCCTCCCCGCCCTTGCATTCCCCTCCGGGCCCAACCCTAGGGTCCCTAGTCCTCTCCCCAACAACATTTCCAGTCCCCTGCCGTGTCCCCGATGGCGCCTCTTGTGCTGGCCACAGCATCTTCACCTTGCACTATCCCAGATCATGCCCTGAGTGGTCAAGGAAATCGACGTGTTGCTTTCTCGGTGCTTGTTACTTGTTTGTTGACTTATTATTAATACCTTGAAATGGGGGAGGGGCAAACAAAACACCACACCCTGCGCAATAAAGACCACTAAGGGAATTTAAACAAATGAAGCTGTAGGGAATTCACCCTTTGGGAAGGGCTTCCTTCAGCTAGGAAACCGGCTTTGCTGGAAATGGCAATCAACATCGGAATTGAGGTTAAACCCGAGATGAACGTAGATCACTTTCGGTTGGAAGCAGGCAGCCCTGTGCACCGAGGTAGACACCTGTGAATAGCCCTGAGCGCTGAGCGTTCCTGTTTCAGAGAAGTGAACTACACCTAGAGCAATCTAGGTCAGCTTCTCAGAAATGCTCCCACCTCTTACTCACCTGCTTATGGAAATGTTATCATCAAAGTCTTACTTCTTGCCCTTGCAGACGGCGGCATCTAACTGAAACAGGAGGATCACTAATAGACCATGTGCCTGCCATCAGTAGTTTACTTATTTCATGAAATTGCCATTCCAGCCAGGTGAGCTAGCTATTAGGATCCAGTTTATCGTCAGACTTTCGAAGTTCTAAAATTTTATACAATTTAGATTAGAAGAAAGATTCCTATGTGTTTGTCTCAGGGCTGGTCTATGACGCCTTTGGTTACATGTTCTACCTTTATTAGGATTGTTTCTTATCTTTCTCAATTGTTTTCAATAGGACGTAGATCATTTAAGCCTGAGTCCCTGGCTACTCAATGTTCTAGTATTCATGATATTTACTGAAGCTCAAACTGTATAGCTGAATGTTTCTTTTCATTTTACAAAACTGAAACCTGCCTTCCTGGCTCCATTGAGAATCACATCTCTCCCCACTGCATCTGTTTTGCACTTTAGGTATTGAGGAGGCCCCAGCTGAAAGCACCCTTCACATGATGCCATGGACACTGTCAGCCTAGGAAAGCAGAGTGTCTTACTTAGCCAATTCTCTACTTTTGGCAGACCACTTTTGGGGCCTGTTCAATAAGATTGCAGACAGGAGGTTGGCATCTGTGGGACACAGTTTTAGTATCACATTGGAGACCCCAGGAAGGCTAGCAATCTGCTCTCTGCAGCAGGTCAGATTTTTTTGGCAAGAAGGAGGGAATACTCTGGGAAAGCCGCCCCTGTATACTCAGCCAAACCTACAGATCTCTGGAGCAGGACTAAGAGAGTGGCAGGGACTTAGAGAGAATTTGGCTGGCAGACAACAGTAAGTAGCAGCCTTATGACATGACTTTAGTGACACCAGGAAGTTTCTCCATGTACTGCCTGCGCAGCCTTTCTCTTATCCTGCAGTTGACTCAGCCAAGTCCAGTGAATGTGGATTGAGCAGCTGAAGATCAGGCCACTGTGTGATGTACTTTGGTGGCAAGATGAATATCAGTTGTAAAAGCTAGTATTTATTGGATGATTACAAAATCCCAAATACTAATCTTTTCGTGTGCTTTCTTGTTTAATGCCCACAAACCCCATGTAGAGGATGACCTGCCATACCTCCCTCCCCTTTTACAGATGAGAAAACCAAGACTAGTCAGTAAATAACCAAGACGACAAGGAATACAATTTAGGCAGTTTGACTCGAGAATTAGGAGCTGTTATGTGAATAAGATATAATAACTGCCCTTATTCACATTGTCCTTTAGCTGGGGAGATAAGAACACCCAAAGATAACCACGAGCTTTGAAAAGGGGAAAGCGGATTTGATGGGTGAATAGTATTCCAATAAGTATGGAGATAACAAAGTTCATATCCAAGGACAGCATTCAAGAACAGCCAAGGCAATCTGGGGAACAGAGACTCAAAGGAAAGGCTGGAGAAGAAAAGAAGGGCAGAAGAATAGAGTCTGTGAAAACAGAAAGGGGAAGGAGGGAGGGATGGAGGAGAAAAACGGAGGGAGGTACAGATGGATATTTGGCTCCATGTAGCCCACTAGCCTCAGAAGATCATCCAGAACACCTTATACTTTAGGTAGACAGGGCTATATTCAGCGGATAGTTAGAAGGGAATGGGAAGCAAATGTTGATGCTCACACGGTAGAACAAGCCTGGGATAATGATGTAAACAGCAAGGCGAGAGAAGAAAGGAAGGCGCTCGTTACTGTTAAGTGTAAACCCAAGAGTATATCTGGGTGTACACTCAGTGGTGAGATGGAGTTGAGCAGATGTGGGTTGGGTAGGGGGTGGGAGGGTGGGGGTGGTCGGAGGGGCAGACACATGAGTGCGGTGTGAAACCTGAAGGAAAGGCAAAGGGTGGGAGAGAAGGAACAACTTCTAAAATCTAGAATTACTCTGTTTTAAATGTACGGTTGAGAGAAATTCAGGTTCAGTGTGTAGGAATGTCAAAGTGTTATCTATGGGAGATAGTTCAATAGATTTATCTGCTAATGAAAGAAAAAGACGAAAATTTAACATGCTTTCCATTACAAAGCAATCAGGTAAGGCTATTCATTTTTTTTTTTGTAAAAACAGTGTTGAAAGAAAATTCTAATAAAAAGAAAATGTTTCTATGGCTCTGAGTTAAATGGGCTTCCTGCAATCTCATTTGCATGAGCGAATCTGTATTTTAGTTATGAGTTCAAGTCTGGTCCTGGAATTGCAACATGGACTTGAAATAGATCTCTGGACAGCCTTACAAGTTTGTAAAGATCCCTTCAGACGGGGAAGCATGGTTGTGAGAGTCGTACTCCTTCCTAAAGGATGCTTGCAGACAGACTAGCACACTCCTAGATTGGTGCTTGAATCATAAAAGGTACAATTTTAGATCCTTGTCCCACCCCACTGTGGCTTGCCTTTATCAAGAATTTTCATTTGCCCCCTACCTTACATAATAGTGCCAGAGACTTCAAACAGTTTCAGGTTGAAAACAGTCAGATAATCCTGGCAAATGCTTCTACTCGCACTCAGAGGTTTCCTAGTAGTGTCCGTGGGGCTTTTCTCATGGATCATTTATGGACTTATGCTACACGTGGGTTTGCAAGAGTTGTCTCTTATGTCACACCTCTACCATTTCTGCCAAAATTCTTACCTCAACTGGTCAGTAGTTCCTTCAGTGTGCCTTCCTCTTCAGTTCTAGAGCTGACAGTCCTTCCTTTCCTCTAGCAGACGCCCTTCACTCGCAGCGTCTACATTCTTTAGGTAATTCTGTAATTCCAGCAGCCCATAAATAAAACCTAGCTTCATTCACCCTCATTACTCCAAGAAAACTGTTTACTAAGCACATGCCCCATGTAAGACACTCAGAGGTACACAGCATACTCTTGGCCAGTGAGTCTCGGGGCATAGCTACAGCTGCTTATTAGTGCTTATTAATGCTTATTAATGCTTATTAATGCTGCATTCTTAGGGAAGAAGACTAGAAGACATGAGAATGTGCTGCTTACCAATCCCGGGACTTCATTTTTCTGATGGGTAGCCACAAGATTCCATAGCAGCTGTTTGACTCTTTCCTCCAGCATTTGAGGGAGGCCACCAAGGAAAGCCACCAAGGAGTCAAAGGAGCAAAGTTTTCTGTACACCAATGCCATAGCCAAGTGCCGGTTTTCTAGCTGAGCTTGGAATGGCAGCGTCATTTTTACCATGTTTGGCAAACAGAGGGGATCTGAGAACAATGGAAGTATCTCTGCTATCTATCTCATGGAGGGCAAGATTACAATGTCACTGAAGTTTACACTGCCCAGAAATTTCAGAGGTTTTTCTCTCCAGATGGGATTTCAGATGAACCGAAGCCTCTGCAGCCACTGGTTATCTGAGAAAGAAACCCACGCTCAGAATTGTAAATATGCAAAATCAGACTGGCTGAAAACAGTTAAAGTCAAAGGGTCATATTGAAAGATCATTAACTAGTATTATTTGCAAATATCCAAACAAAACTAACAAACAAATAAACAAAAATGAAATAGAATCAGCTTAAATGCACACTGATGTGAGGCCATTTAAATGCACCTACTC